TGGAAACGAGGTCGTGGAATTTAGGAGGTTTATTTTTTTACTCACAGTGGTTCTCCAGACAGAAATGAAAGATTTGACAGACGAAACGATTCTTTTTCTGTAGGAATCTGTTTAGAAATGTAGTTTTTAAAGCGTTATCAGAACCACATTAAATTCCATGGGAAAAATCCAATAATTTACAGCAGTTGTTGATCCATGGGTAGCTCCACCCACAAGGGAAAATTTGCTAGTTGTTTGAAATACTTCATTTAGTTTAACCGCAGTGACAAATGATGTCCATAAGAGGCAGTAGTAGACGGGTAACTTGTGTTTACCTCCTAGCTCGATTATCTGATTTATTCAATAGAGTTGCAGTTTTCTTTAAAAGTTTTATTTCCACAACAGGGAAAGGAGGTGAACATATTAGCTGATGTTAATTTTATGAACCGAGTCACTTATTCAGTGGCTCAGATCCTCAGGGTGGTCTTAGCATACTGTCCATACAACCATTTTTAAAAACTACCTGAACTCTCCCCTCTAGAGAGACATGATTTTTGTCCTGTGCTGCATCACTGCCTGGTAACAAGGAAAAGCCTCATTTTTTTTCCAGTCAGGAATCGCTCCTGAAAAAGCCGTAGAAACAAAGAATTCCCTTCCTCATGAAACATTAGTGAACGTTCACTTTGAATTATTCCTCATTAATTACCCCTCAGATGTTAAAGACACCAAATCAGCTCATTTCACCGAGCTGTAACTCAGACCTCCAGGGTCCAGACCTTGGACACGGGACCAGACGGCGACCCGTGAACCAGCCCTGCACGGGTTGAGATGAAAAACCGAGAGGCGGCGTTCATCTCAGACGACATCCTGGTGGATTTTTCCGGAGCAGAGCCAGAGCTCCTGCACAGTCGACTAACTGCTACAGAGAGGCAGTAAATAATTTATGCAGATGTATTAATAGATCACAGGCAGCTCTCACCAGGCCACCGCTGCCTCAGAAGAAGAAAAAAGAAGAAGCGAAGACTTCTCTGTACAGTCAGAAGAGCCCGCTTTCACAAAACCCTCCTCAATTTTTGGGGATTTGTTTAGAACATTTCCTTAATCCTGGAATAAATCTGAGCCGCTGCAGTGAAACGGGAATTGTTCTTCCTGTCGGAGCAGCCGGGGGTTAACGTTTGGTTGTTGTGTCTGACGATTCCTGCTTCTTACTACGGTTTCACAGTTTACTTCGCTCCCTCTGTGACGCCAAACACCACTGAACTAACAAGTGGTTCAAGCTCACAGTGGCTTACCGGTTTACTGCTGCCTCGTGTGGTCGTTTTGACTCGGCGATGGAGCGTGAGGCGTTTTATTCCGTGTGGTTTGATATAAAATCCTGGATTTTCTGTATGGCATTAGGTGCAGGAAAAAGTTGTTAAAAAACCTTTATGTCGGTTAGATGTTTGTACATGTTAGGAAGGTATTTAGAAATAAAAATAACATATAATAATGCTAACTTCCTGTTTCCTGTAGGCCTGACGCTAACACAACAACAGTTGATGAAGTGTTTGTTTTTGTTCAACACGGCAGTTTAAACACACACAAATCCAGGTGTACCTGAACGCATCACATGCAACAGCTGCTGCCTTATTTTAGTGCCGCTGTCCATCATTCTGCGGTTCATGTGTGTGTGTGTGTGTGTGTGTGTGTGTGTTGGTTCATGTATGACAAAGAGCCGTGCGCTGATTTTCATGAATAATGTAAGAAGCAGAAAATGTATCCTCCGTTTTTCTGTTTACTTTGCAACATGTTCCAGCGTTTATGTGTGTGTGTGCTACAGGTGTCAGTGTATCGGCCCCATCCCCCCCCCCCCCCCCCCCACACAGATATGTGGGCTGATAATGGAGACATCAATTATTCAGGAGCAGCCCAGTCTATCACATGAAATACCTTTCACTGTGTCTGTGTGTGCGTGTGCGTGTGTGCACACACACATATGATGTGTAATTGTGTTTGTGTATCATTATTTGTTTTCTCTATAAGGTCTCTTTCTCTCTGACATTTCCACCAAATATGCTGATGCTAAAATATTTACAAGCTGCTGGGCGATAGAGAGACATAGAACATGCAGAGAGAGAGAGAGAGAGAGAGAGAGAGAGAGAGAGAGAGAGCAGTGTGTTGACTGTAGTTATTGTTCCCGTTGTTCATTGTCCTGGTTGTGACTCGGTCAAAGTCCAACAGTGAAGAAACCTTTTGTTTGCTCTGTGTCGTGTTGGATTTTGTCTCCCAGTCGATGAAGAGTCTACAAGAAAAACCATCATCCAACATTCATGTTCCGGGGTTTGTACCACGTTACGTCAGGTTGTTACACGGACATTTTGATATTTAAAAGCTGTTTATTTGGACACATCCAAAACCATGCAGAGATCGCAGTGACACAAACTGGCCACACGAGGCAGTGTTGACACAGCTACTTAAAACTTCTCGCTCTGTTTCTCAGGACAGGGAGGCGGAGCCACTGTTATCGCATCATCTACCGACACATGGAGCGGACGCTGACGCAGGAGGAAGTTCGACTGGTCCACGAGCAGATTGAACGAGCAGCAGAGGAAGAGCTGGGCGTGCAGGGCAGATACTGACACACACACACACACACACACACACACACACACACAGTGGACTGGCCTTGTTAATGTCAAAGGACCTTCTTTATTTAAAGGAGACCTAATGAAAAATTAATCCTGTCAATATGAGGTTTTTAAATTAATCAATCATGATTTTCAAATAGTTTTTTTTTTTCCCCGTTTAAACACATTTTGGTTGACATTTAAATCAATGAAAAACCAGCAGCAAAATTGTGTTTTTATTTATTTGTCTGTGTGGGTTTTTTTACACTTTTTTGTGTGTGCGCTGACATCACACAATGCATCATGGTCATACTGATATTAGACAACTAAGAAAGTGGTATTTCTTAATTAATCAATTGAAAATAACAGATTAAAGACCATAGACCTGAGTTGAATAATTCTGCCTGTGTCTGTAACGGGCGACGTCTGAATGTTTTGTTTATTTTTACATTAATAACAGATGACGTCTTCGTGCTTCATCATCTGCAGCAGTTCACAGACTTTTAAACGTCTTCTTGAATCTTTTGGAGTCTCTGGGCTGGGCCTTAACATTAATAGAATAATTTGCGATCATTGGCTAACATTTAGCTGCTGTCCTGCTGGGTGGAGTGATGAAATGAAAACTTTGAAACTCAGGAATGCTGCTGTAGGAATATGACAGCTTCAGTGTATGTAGGTTTCCACATGATTTGAATTAATTTTTCTTTTTCTCAAGCAAAATAAAAACCTTAGTTTCACGTCCATTTACAGCCTGAAAACCACAGTGTGTGACTGTTTAGCTGCAGTGTGACAGTAATCTCTCCTAAATGTTAAACTGTGGCTCAGACCTGTCCTCGTTTCCCCTCATAACACACACACACACACACACACATAATCTGTCAATCACGCTGCGACAGAGAGTCGAGGCTTCGGCTGTCGCTGGCTTCACACTTTAATAAATTCACACACACACAGAAACAGTGTGTAACAGACTGACAGGACTGACTGTCAGGGCAGTGAGATACACTGGCTCCAGCTACTGCCATCATACACTGTCATACTGGAACTTCACACACACACACACACGTGTGCATGTGTGCACTCACACACATGTGCAGACTCAGACAGTCAAATGCCACTCTGCCAGTCATAGAGCAGGAGTTTCTCCCCCTCCCTCCCTCTCTGTGTCTCGTCATCATGGTCGAATTAAAACTGAGCTCTGACAGTTTCAGGCCAATGTCTCATTCACACACACACACACACACAGATGTTTCTCTTTTCAACTTGAGTTTTTTCGTGACTCCTCTGACCTTCAGGATCAGCCCTGATCCAAAGTAGTTTTAAACGTATTCCATCCTTTATCTGGGCGTTCGCCTTCGTTGGTTCCCATGTGTTGCACCAACATGGCTGACCAATCAGAGTCTGACCACCAGGGGGACCAAAGGTTCAGGTGAACCTTCCACCCACAGACTCTCACTGTCGTCTGATGGTTCATCATCGACACTCTGAGCTCTGAACACACCTGAGACCCAACAGGAGTTCGTGAGGCGTTCACTGTCTCCGGGCTCCGTGGAGAAAATCCCCGATTTTACCTGACGGAGACACAGATCGTCTGACTCGTGTCGGTTACGTCTAAAGAAAGTCACAGATTAACACGTCGGAATTGACAGTGAATTCAAATGTCAGTGCGGAGTGAAGAATCGAACCACTTCAGTCACACACCGTGATCTACAGATCGTAGACACCTGTAGCCGTGGTGTTGTTCCAACGCTGAGAGAGAATTTACATTTGAGAAAAACTTTGATCAAAGGGAATCAGTATTCATATTTTCCATTGACACAAACAGGCCCAGGAGCTCACATGGATATTTATATCTCAGACAGATGTGGAAGAAGCTGTGAGGCTGTCACCGTCTCCGCAGGAGGACCGAGAGTTTGACAGAACGCAGCGGAGAAACGAGACGAGCAGAATGAATATATACCATGTATGTCATCAGGGCCACACGGTGTCACGGTGGTCTGTGCTCTTGCCTTACAGCAAGAAGAAGAATACAGTTTTTCAACCTCAGCTTTTTTAGGAATTTCATTTAAATTTAAAAAAAAAACTAAGACATTTAATGTCTGAATCTGTCGAGAAACTCAGTGAGTTTACTCTGCAGCAGCTGTTGATCCGCTGACCACACGAGGCAGTAGCGGGCCAGCAGCTTTGTTTCCCTCTGAACTAAGAAGGCTGCTTTTACTTTATGGATTGTTTTCATACTTCTGAAAAAAATCATCTTTTTTATTTTTTAAAGGTGCTAAATGTTTACAGTGTTTATCAAAATCACCAAAACACACACACCTGTGCTCCTGTTTCTGCAGACAAATCCGATTCACGGAGGTTTTCACTTCAACTGCTGTGATGAAGTATCTTCATCACAACCTGACAGAACAAAAGAGTGTGTGTTTGTGTGCGCGGAGAGCAGGTATTTTTAGAAATCGGCATTCTGTTGGTAGCACGACTCTCACACATGCAACCTCACGCACACTCACAAACTCACAAACACACATACACACACACACACACACACATACATTGGTTGATTTAGCTGCCGAGACATTGGTTTGGAGTTTTCAATATGCTGCTTAGCTCAAAACCATTACTCTCACTCTGTCTGTGTGTTTGTATATATATATATATGTGTGTGTGTGTGTGTGTGTGTGTCTGAAACAGTCTGTGGAACAGAGAGAGAAATGACAACCCAGTTAAATCACCATGGCAACCGCTCCTCATCCTCCACATCCCAGCACTCCCGTACGTGTGAGGGTGGGAAACTACCCTGGCCAGATTTCCCTGCTGCAGTTTTCTAGGAAAGGAAAATCTGTCATTAAAAACAACACAAAAAGTGTTTTATTTTGAAATTATTTTTAGACTTCCAGAGAGAGAGAGAGAGAGAGAGAGGGGAGAGTAGTTGCGTGACCTCTTGACACCCAGCGTGTAAAAACAAAGGTTGATGTATGTCTTGTAGACGGTCCCTTAAACCTCGTTACTGTGCAGCAGAGAGAGGGTCGTCTCTGAACCTCATTATTGCGCTGTTAATGGAAGACGGGTCATAAATCACTTTAATGATTTGTAAAACAAAATAAATAAAGTCAATTAACCATGTTTTTCTGAACACTGTTAATGAGGTATAATAAAAAACCACAAATTAATTTAGTACAAAGTAAGGACGGTCCCTAAATCTCCCCTAATATGCTGTAAAATAAAGAAAAAGAAAAGGACGATCCCTTAATCTTCAGATTTTATTAATGTGACAGTTCCTTCATTTTACCACATGTCCTTCAAACCTGAACATTACTCAAATTCCACACTGAGTAGTAACTCATTGATGACCCCTAAACTTCATTAATGCTGTGTTAAAGCTTGACAACGTCCTGCACAAAGAACCATCTGTGTTAACCTGGTTCTGCACTTATTTAGTAAACACTGGATGGTCCCGAAACGAAGGGTGTTCCCAAATATTCTGTGCTTTAAAAGTGTACTGTATGTTCCCTAAATCCTCATTAATGTTCTATAAAAAGAGGCTTCTCCCAAAACCTCAGTGTGCTGTAAAAATAACGAACAAACAAAACCTCAGTGTGCTGTAAAAATAACAAACAAAAAAAAAACAAAAACTGGGCTCCTCTCAAATCCTTCTGTAGTCCCCAGATCTCATCAGTGTTCTATATAAAGAGGACGCTCCCTAAACTCCATTACTGAGCTCCATGGAAGAAGACAGTCCCTAATCATCATTAATCTATGTATACAGAAGGACGGTCCCTAATTTGATTCAAACATATGAACTGCACATACGGCACAAATCCCTGATTGGTTTAGGTCTTTGTTAATGAGAAAATAAAGGTCATCCCTCACACGTGACGCTCCCTAACTCTTTACCTCTGACTGAGGCTGATACGCTTAGTAGACGCTCCCTAACACTGTTATAACTAATAGACTTGTACGTCTGTTGGGGGGCGGGCCCGGTGACATCACAGTGGGCGTGGCCTCTTCACTAAAGAAAACCCTCCGTTTCAAACATGACCCTCACAGGAGAGAAACACGTCTGAGCTTCGTCCTCCTCCGTTCTGAACAAACTTCCTACTGGTTTACTTTGACCTCATTTCAGCCTGTGGCTCAGTGGTTACAGGGTTGAGTTTATGATCAGAGAGTCGTAGGTTTGAATATCAAGGCTGGCACTGTCTGAGGTGTAGTGAGAGAAGTCCATTTTTATGGACTAATATTTATCTTCCCTCTTTTCATTTTTGTCTTTCCTCGTCCTCTGCCTTCCTGTTCTCCCTCTTCCTCCCCCCTCTGTCTCCGTCCTGTCATGTCACTGAGGGACGGGTGTGTTGTGCACAGATCACGTTAAAGTGGTCATTATTTTCATGTTCATCATTGCAGCGACCCTTCACTTGGACTTCCTGCTCCTGCGCCC